GGCTGGGGATTCGAACCCGCCACCTTAGGTGTATGTGGCTGGCACCTTAGCCGCTTGAGCCACAGGCGCCGAACCTATTTTCTGTATTCTTAAATAGAGACTACACGGAAGAAAACAGCAACTCAGATCATCCTATATGCTTGCCACTGAGCTAATTATAGGAGAAAATACTAAGAGGGCTTGCTTAGAAGTTGTCAGGAAGTTACTTACCTAGTTTGAGAGGGAAAACCAACTTCCAAGAAAAAGCAGACTGAATTTACAGTTGTGCTGTTGGAGTACCAGAATAGAGATGAGGAAGGTAAGGAGTAACAGGTGAAGGCTTTTTTAGAATCAGTAGTGTGGGAATAGGCTTTCCAGATGAGAGGAACTATAGGAGAAAAGTCATGAAATCAGAAATTTAAAATGTAGTTTGGGGGGAGGCATTATTTATTTATCTTAAAAAGCCAGTCACATTTAGCAGTGAGGGGTTCTGTAAAATGTAGCTTTTTAAATGGAGAGAAAATTGTGCTAGAAAAGGGGAATGATTTGTTGAGTTCCTACTATGTGCTCTTTATTTAACTGTCTTAGCAAACCTATGTGGAACAGTTGTCAGATGAGTGTACTGAGACTGAAAGAGATTGACTAACCTAAATCAAACACTCAGTAGTAGAACAAGGATAAAAATGTTAGTGTTCTAATGTTATTCCAGTTCTCTTTCCAGTATGTGATGGTCTGACAATTAAGATCATGAACTCATCCTAGAAAAAGTACTACAAAAACCTCATTGCTAAATATCACTATAATCACCTCTGAAGTACTCTGCTTATGAAGCTGTGCACTGATGCCAGTGCCTGATCCACTCTTCAAAGCAATTTTGGAACTCTCTGGAATGACCATCAGAGCTGTTATCTTACATGGTCTGACACTTAATAAACTTACCCTAGAAGAAGTGCTGCATACCTCCTTGCTAAATATCACTATGGTTGGCTATGAAATACTCCCCTTGGGAAGCCTTGTACCAATGCCAGTGCCTAGTCCACCCTTAAAAGCACTTTTTCTAGGATGAATTTGCAAACTTAATTGTTCACCTTCATACTGTGCTGCTGGATTGGGCTAAAATATAAATATCCTTATTTTATTTGTTATTTATTTTAATTTTTTATTTTTATATTTATTTTTTGAGACAGTCTTACTTTGCGGCCCTCGGTAGAGTGCTTGACATCATAGCTCACAGCAACCTCTAACTCTTTGGCTCAAGCAATTCACTTACTTCAGCTTCCCGAGTAGCTGAGACTACAGGTGCCTACCACAACGTCTGGCTATTTTTAGAGGTAGGGTCTTGCTCTGGCTCAGGCTTATCTTAAACCTGTGAGCTCAGGCAGTCTACCTGCCTCGGCTTCCCAGAGTGCTAGGATTACAGGCATGAGCCACTACGCCTGGCCCTCAATGTCCTTATTAATAAGTACATCTCTCTATTACCCTGGAAAATTGTTTCTGAAGCTTTGATTTTTTAAATTTTTCTTTAGTTAAATTGACTCACTTTTATTGAAAAAGATTTTGTGAAATTAGGTTTGCTTAGAAATTGAGAGCTTCTGGTTATCAAACCCAGAGAAGGAGGTATACGATCCCAGCCAGAGAGGACATTAACACCTTGGGCAGGAGGGGTATGGGTGTGAATAGGAAGTGGCAGAGGCTCTAGAGAGCGTGGGATTTGACCCATGACCTGTGCTCACAAGCTCTGTGCAGAGCTCAGACATGAGCTCTTTTCAGTATCTTCATATTATCCTGTAATCCTAGCACTCTGGGAAGCCGAGGCAGGTGGATTGCCTGAGCTCACATGTTTAAGACAAGCCTGAGCCAGGCTTGACATGAGCTCTTTTGAGTATCTTCATATTATCTTTTTTACCCTTTCTAATGTTGAAATTAAAATTAATATTAGGTCAAAACAAGTTAAATTGCCCTTTTGTTGCTGATAGTTGTATATTGACAGTTTTTGTAGTTTAGTCCCAGTATATTCAGCAAACAATTGCTGGCTCACTATATGGGGCAGGAACCCATACCATCTTTGTTTTGTTTTATTTATTTATTTTTAGAGTCAAGGTCTCTTGTCACCCAGTCTGGAAAGCCTCAGCGTGATCATGGCTCACTGCAGCCTTAAATTCCTGGCCTCAGGCTCGGCGCCTATGGCTCAACCGGCTAAGGCGCCAGCCACGTACACCTAAGGTGGCGGGTTTGAATCCCCAGCCCGGACCCGCCAAACAACAATGACGGCTGCAACCAAAAAATAGCCGGGCGTTGTGGCGGGTGCCTGTGGTCCCAGCTACTTGGGAGGCGGAGGCAGGAGACTCGCTTGAGCCCAGGAGTTGGAGGGTGCTGTGAGCTGTAATGCCATGGCACTCTACCCAGGGGGACAGCTTGAGGCTCTGTCTCAAAAAAAAAAAAAAAAAAAATTCCTGGCCTCAAATGATGCACCTGCTTCTACCTCCCAAGTAGCTGGGATTATAGGCTTGAGCCACCTAGCCTGACACCTTCATATTTCAGTATGCCAGTTTCTATCAGGAAGAAAATCTCCTCAGTGTAAGAGCTGTATAGTTACACAGTGCTGTTTTCTTAGGATCTGGTTTTTTTTTTCCCCCTTTAAATAGATGCATTATGCATGAGAACTAAAACAAAATGTAATGGCCAAATATATTTTCTGAAAGAATTCTGAGACTTTCAGTAATGGTCAAAGTAGTATATGAGAGAGGTTAAGTTTCCTTCTATGTAGAAATAGTGGCTGGGTGTGGTGGCCCATGACTGTAATCTCAACACTCTGGAAGGTCAAGGCACTCTGGGATCACTTGGGGCTGGGAGTTTGAGACCAGCCTGGGCAACATAGCAAGATTCCACCTCTGTAAGATGATAATAAAAGAAAAGGGGACATTTCTTTTCAAAGATGTCAAAGTTAAGAAAATTAACTGTGCAATTAGTAGAAAGAATAGAGTAATAGAGCCAGTATTTTTTTAACCTTGTTTAAAATGTCTGTGTTTATCTTAAGTTTTTTTCCCCCCTCTTTATAAGTGACAATAGGTCTGTTTCTGAGACTCTCTTTTGAACTTTTCCTTAGGTCTTAACATATCTGATTTTTTCAGACCACTCTCTAAGAAAAAAATGAAGGTTAATCTTTGGGCTATGTAGGAGTGTTAACATAAAGTTCGGTAGCTAAACTGTAATATATGCTATATATTAAGTAGAAAATCAAACATAGGTGTTTTGATGAATGAATGATGGACATTAGATGATGAAAGAGGTTTTGAGTAAAAAACAGTCCTAGTATTAGTTGAAAAAAGCAGAATAGAGACCAGCCAGTTGTGGAAATAACAGGATCTGGTACAGTAATGGGAGTAGAAGCAAAGAAATGGATCTCAGGTACTTGAAGGATAAGTGGTTAACCATGAATTTATTTGTTAAAAATGAGAAAAAGTGGTAGCATTGTGTTTGTTGTATTTCACAGTACATTTGTAAAATGGTTAGAGTGGACATGGCATCTGAATAGTGGAGCAAGTTCTAAAACCTCTGTCCTTGGGATCTAAGGAAGTTAATTATTCAGGAGTTAAATTGAAAAGAGATATGACTGAGCATGTTTTATTACATTACTTTACATAGTACACCAATTTTACATGGCAGTTGCACCTTGGTAATATTAGCTAGTGACTTTGCAGTCTGTCTTGCAGAAGTGGGCTGAGTAGCTGGGGGATAGAAAAGGAAAACTGGTTTGATTTTCTTTTTTTTAAACTTTTGAAATTCTTACTAATCTGTTTTTTTTTAAAGTTTGCTTAAAAATAGTTTGGAACCACCCATTTGGGCCATTTTAAGTTATAAACTCTTAATTTAGATTCCTACCAATTAGTCAAAAGTGAAATGAATATCAAAATACTACCTGCTTAACATTTTCTAAGAAAAATAAAAATAATACATTGCAAGAAAGCAGTGCCATCTGATTAAATTAGAATTTTGCCCATTTGAATGGGTTTTAATAACATGCCACAAGTCAGTATTAGTAAATCAATCACATTTTGCTAGTAGTAATAAGTGCTTACTTAGGGAATGCTCATCAACTCTTGCAAAAGACACTAGAGTAGGATTAACTTTATGGTCAGCAACTTTGATAGTCCTGAATGTTCTGGCTTCTATATGCTGTAGAGATTACTGCCTTAAAAGGCAATGACAGGAGTGACAAAAATGAAATAGAAGAAGAAAAAGACAAAAACAGGAGTTTGCAAAATATGGGCTAGGGATGCCTGCGGGTCCTCAAGACTTTGAAGAGGTCTACAAAGTCAAAACCATTTTTATAATAATTAATAACACATAATTTTGGGTTTTTGGCCTTTTCTTTTGTAAGTATATGGTAATTTAATAGGTTATCTGACAGGTGGTGACGCCATTGCTCTTATGCCTATTGGAATGTATTCTTGTATCTTTTGCCTTTTTTTTTTTTTTAATTTCAGGTTAACGTGAGGGTATGAACAACCAGGTCAGAATACTTAATTTTGTTAGGTAGTGTCCCTCTTGTGGTTATGTCCTGAACTCAGACGGTGTGCCAAATACCTGTATCTTTTGCCTTTTAAAAATGTTTTAATTTCTAATAAATATTGATTAAATATAGCTCACATACCTTTTTGAGGTTCTTAATTTTTTTAGTGTAAGGGGGTTCTGAAACTAAAAGTTTGAGAACTGGTAACCTACAAAAATCATAGTAACTAGGCTGAGTTTTATAACATTATTTTAAAGAAAAATTGACAATACCTACTTATATTAATAAAATTCAACAGAACAGAAACAAAACAAAAATTTGAAATTAACAAGGTATTTTATTCAGAAGTAACACTAATAGTACATTATATATTTTTCTAAATTTCTTGTTCATAATTATATGTATGTTTGTTGGGAAAAAGTGTGTTGTGGTATACATAGCATATACTGGTTTATGGTTTGCTATTTTGAAATGAGCAGTATATCTGAAATACATTAGTGTGTATAGAACTTTTAATCTCTGTAGGCTTTTTGTTGACTGGGTATAGTGTAATTTATTTGTTCAACCGATTTTAGTGATTATTTGGGTTGTTTCCAATCACTGTTTCAAAAAGCCAACTCACTTACATTGATGGAAAATTACTACATAGAATGCCAGCTATTTATATCAGCACTATTTAGAAAGAAGAATAATATGACAACAAAAGGATATCCCCTAGGAATACAAGGTTAGTTTGATTTTTAGAAAATCTGTTAAAATTATTTATCTTATAATTGAAAGAATGAAAAAGCTGGTGATTATCTTATTGAGTGCTAAATAGGTATTTAGTCAATATTGATTTTTAATAAGCAAAAACTTAGCTAAATAGGAAAACAGTGGATAATTAAAACCAAACACTAGCACCACATGTAATGTTACAAAACTGGGGGTATCTTAGGCAAATGAAGAAACATTTATTTTATATCTCTTGTAGCTGTGTCTCAGTGTATATTATTTTTTTTTCTGAAGTGTTCATGGTCCATGTAGCATGTGTTTTAGCCTCTTTGTAGCTTCAGCATATTCCTTTTAAAAGTAGATACCAGCTTTCCTGGGGTCACAGTGTTGTTTAGAATATTATAAAATCACTTAGCATATGAGGTCTGACAATTAAGTTCGTGAACTGATTTTTTAAAAATGCTACATACCTCATTGGTGAAGATCTCTACAGTTACCTTTTAAATACTCCCCTTGGGAAGCTATACACTGACTCTAGTACCTCATCTACCCTTCAAAGCAATTTTGAAACTCTGTTTTTGGAATGGCCATCAGAGTTGTTGTTGTTATTACCTTTGATGTCCTGAATATCACCAAAATGTTTTCCTTTCAATATTTTATCTTGAGGTAAAGAAAAAAGTCATTGGGGGCCAGATCAGGTGAGTGGGGAGGATGCTCCAATATAGTTATTTGTTTACTGACCAAAAACTCCCTCACAGACAGTGCCATGTGAGCTGGTACATTGTTGTGATGTGAGAGCAATGAGTTGTTGGCCAAGATTTTCAGTTAAGATTTTGCTATTTTTTTCTCTACCAATGTTCACTCGCTCTGGTTTGCTTCTCATAGTCAGCTGAAAATTTTAATGCACAATTTGATGAATTTTTGCAGTGTTTTTGTCAGTTCTGATCATTACTGGCTGTTCTGACCTTTCTTAATCAGTGACACTTTTTCTCCCCTCAGAAAAATACACTGCCATTTTCTTCATGGATTATCCCCAGAAACTTGTCTCTGATTTCATTTCCATTCTTGCCAAATTTATCAAGAAATTTAATGTTTGCTCATTGCTCTAATTTCAAGCTCTGAAAGACATTCTTGCAACAGTACAAAGAAACACAAAAACAAGAATAACACCACTCAGCAAGACACTGCCACACATCAACATGGACACAGTTGTGAGATACTGGTACACCCAGATTGTGTGAAACTTTATATAACTTGTCATACCTTATACTATAAGATTTTAGATAAGGGATAGTTTGTTATTAAAGGACTAAAAAGTACTTGTCATAAGAAGAGAAGTTGATGTCGGTTTTATTCTGACCTTTTCTAAATGATGAGTTATATTGTGCTACATACTTGCTTGAATCACTATAACTTTCAGGATCCGTTTTAGTATCCTGGTTAGATACTCAGGTGGGGGCAGTGTAACATGGTGATCAACTTGCAGACTATAAAGCCAGAGCTTCTTAGTTCAGATCTTAGTTCTGCCATTTTCTAACTTTGTAATGTTAGGTTCTTTAGCTTCTTTGCACTGTAGTGGTCCCATTTATGAAATGAGGAGGATAACATTATCCTTTTATTATGATTATTAAGTGTAAAAGTGTTTGGAGATTAATGTGAAGTGCTCAACACTTCACCTTGCACGTAGGCAGAACTATGTAAGGATTACTTACTGCTGTGTTGATTATTTGGTTCAATTTTTTTTTTAAATTGCAAAATAACCAAATGTTCATTTTAGAAGACTTAGAAATTACAGATGAATCAAAAGAAAAGAAAGAAACTTACTAAAAATTCTGCCACTTAGGCACAGTTAACAATATTATAATTTTTCTGTGAATTCTTCAAAACTTTATAATACATATAAAGTCCTTTCCTATATCTCTTCTTCTTTTTCTTTAACAACTTTCAATCTTTCTTTATTCGTTATTCATTCTGGTCAGCAAATACTGAGCATATATTGTGAGCTACTATTGTGCTAGGACAGTGGGATTTAGTGGTGAACATATATACAGACTCGGTACGTACAGCTTGGAATCTAGTGGGAGAAAATATTCAGAGTAACAAATACATTTTCTATAAAGAGAATATGTGAGGAGAATATTAGAGGAAAACCTGATCTGATCTAATTTGGGTGTTATGTATGTCTTGGTTAGGAGACCACCATCTATTGAACAAAGCACCATAGGTAATCTAAAGCATATTGAAAAATTAATGCATTTGATTTTATGAAAGTAAAAATTTTTCGTAAACAAAGGAAAAATTTATTTTCAATTCGTATCACGCACAAGGCTGACTTCTCATATGAAGAACTATAAATAGCCTGCAAAAAATTAATAATGGAAAGTAACAAAAGGTTATGAATGGACACTTCTTAGAAACACAAGTGACTCTTAAGAGAAAGGTAGTTCATCGCTATAGACAGACTATTTTTCACCTACCACATTGGTAGAGATCTAAAAACCCAGTAACACTGAATTGACAAAGTCAAGTGGAATTAGCCACATTAATATACATGTGTGTATAAGTCAATGGATAACCTTTATGGAAGGTGGTATGGTAATGGGACAGAAAATCACAAATGTATTTTTCTTTTGATCTGAAAGTTCTAGGAATTTAGCCTATAAATATTTACTACAGCATTGTTTGTATGATAAAAGATTAGAAACAAATGTCCATTATTAGTATACTGGTTAAATAAATTATAATGCCTTCATATAGTAGTAGCTTTTTATATACTAGTATGTGCATAGTTGCCAAGTTGTGTGACAGAGTAAGATGCAGAATTGTGAATATGTATGCCATTGATGTGGGAAAACGTTATGCTTATGTGTATATTAGTGAATCCAAGAGTTGAGTGACAGTGGCTGGGTGCAGTGGCTCACTCCTGTAATCCTAGCACTTTGGGAAGGCTAAGGCAGGAGGATCACTTGAGCTTAGGAGTTCAGGGCTACCGTGATTATGCCTAAGCATAACCAGTATGCTCCACCTTGGGCAACACAGCGAAATCCCATATCTAAAAATAAAAATTTTTTTAAAAAGTTAAAAACAAAAAAAGAGATGGTTGACAGTAGTTTTCTTTAAACAGAGAAACCAGGAACCACATGAGAAGGAATCTTTGAGTGTGTGGGTTTACAAACATATCGTTTTCTACCTATGGATTTACATGTTAGCCTATTTTGTAGAAATGAAATGGTCTTTCAGAAATCATAGGGCCGTCAATGAACACAAATATATAGTAATCTTGATGGAAGTAAATTCTGGTTTAGACTTCTTTTTTATTTTGATCATCTTGTATGGCATCTTCAACTTTTATGACTGACTCCATTTGAAGCTTTGTTCTCCTTGCTCAGCTAGTTTTCTGTGTTGTGTTTCCTGTCCTGTAGTTAGGAAAAATGAGGCTGACAATCCCTTGCCGTGCAGTGACTTGCACACATCTGCAGTGTTTTGATGCTGCCCTTTATCTACAAATGAATGAGAAGAAGCCCACCTGGATTTGTCCTGTGTGTGACAAAAA